AGGAGAAGGATGGGAATCGTGGGGGACTGAGTACGGAGAAGCACTAAGTACACAAAGTGCTGTGGAGGCTAAATATGCTTAGGGGCGTCACTCCAAGAGTGCAGAGAGGATGGGTACATGGGGTGCTGAGGATGGAGGGGTACTGAGTACACAGGTGCTGCATGGTGGTATACTTAAGCACATCACCCCAGGACCTCAGGGAGAAGGATGGGTGAGGCAGGGTGCTGAGTCCAGAAGAGTACTGAATACACAGCATGATCTGAACATTAAATATTTTTAAGGTTATCACCCTAGGAGTGCAGGGAGAAGAATGGATATGGCAGGGTCCAGGTTACGGAGGGGTACCAAGTACACAGAGTGCTGTGGAGATTAAATATGCTCAAGGGTGTCCCCCTGGGAGCGCAGGAAGGATGGGTAAGGTGGGGTACTGGGTGCAGAGGAGTACTGAGTTCACAGGGTGCTGTGGATCCTCTGCTCAAGTGTCTTCCCCAGAGCGCAGGGAGAAAGATGAGTATGCAGGATACTGAGTCTGAATGGGTACTGAGCATGGGCTGCTGTGGGTGGTCTGCTCAAGGGTGTCCCCCCAGGAACGGAAAGAGAGGGATGGGTAAGGGAGGGTACTCAGTCTGGAGGGGAACTGAGTCCATGAAAGGCTGTGGGTGGCCCACTCAAGGGCATCTCCTCAAAAGCGCAGGTTGAAGGATATATGAGGTGGGGTACTGAGTCTGGAGGAGTATCAAGCCCATGGAATACTGAGGGTGGTCTGCTCAAAGGCGTCTCCCCAGGACCACAGGGAGAAGGATGAATACAAAGTACTTAGTCTGGAGAAGTACTGAGTCCACAGGGTGCTGTGGGTTGTCTGCTCAAGGGATCCCAGGGAGAAGGATGGGTACTGAGTCCATGGGGTACTGTGGGTGATGTGCTCAAGGGCATCCCCCCAGGAGTGCAGGGAGAACGAGTAAGGAGAAGTATTGAGTCTGGAGGGATACTGAGTCCACAGGATGCTATTGGTGGTCCATTCAAAGGTGTCTCCCCAGGACCACAGGGAGAAGAACGGGTAAGGTGAAGTCCTCAGTCCAGAGAGGTCCTGAGTCTGGAGTACTGCAGGTGGTGCATTCAAGGTTGTCTCCCCAGGCACACAGGGAGGATGAGTAAAGCGGATACTGAGTCTGGAAGGGTACTTAGTCCACAGGGTGCTGTAGGTGGTACATTCAAGGGTATCACTCCAGGAGCACAAGGAGAAAAATGGGTAAGGTTGGGTACCGAGTCTGGAAGGGAACTAAGTACATGGGGTGTGCTCAAGGGTGTCACCCCAGGAGTGCATGGAGAAAGATGGACAGAAAGGAGTACTGAGCCTAGTGAGTCCCTAGGGTGCTATGGGTGGTCCACTCAAGGATGTCTCCCTAGGAGAACAGACAGAAGGATGGATACAGAGAAATACTAAATCTGAAGGCATACTAAGTACCCTAGGTGCTACAGATGGTGTGCTCAAGAGTATCCCCCCAGCACCAGAGAGAGAATGAATACAGAGAAATACTGGGTCTGGAGAGGTAGTGAGTTCATGGGCTGCTGCAAGTGGTGTACTCAAGGGCATCCCTCCAGGACAAAAGGAAGAAGAATGGGTACAGAGTCTATGGGGTGCTGTGGGTGGTCTGCTCAAGGGTGTCTCCCTAGGACCACAGGGAGAAGGATGGGTACTAAGTCCCTGGGATGGTGCAGGTGGTGTGCTGAAGGGCATCTCCCCAGGACTGCAGGGAAAAAGATGGGTAAGGAGGAGTACTGAGTCTACAGCAGTACTGAGTCCCTAGGGTGGTGCAGTTGGTGTGCTAAAAGGTGTCTCTCCAGGACCACAGGGAGGAGGAGGGGTATGGAGCCAATGGGGTACAGTGGGTGGTCTCCTCAAGGGTGTCTCCCCAGGACCACAGGGAGGATGGGTAAGGAGGAGTACTGAGTCCAAAGGTGTACTGAATCTCCGGGGTGGTGTGTTCAAAGGTGTCCCCCCCGGGACTACAGGGAGAAGAAGAAGTAAGAAGGAGTACAGAGTCTGGGGGAGCAGGGGATCCATGTGGTGCTGTGGATGCTGTGTTTAAAGGTGTCTCCCCAGGAACAGAGTAAGGATGGGTAAGGTGGAGTACTGAGTCTGGAGAGGTAATGAGTGCCCAGGGCGGTATGGGTGGTGTGCTCAAAGGTATCACCCCAGGACTGCAAGGAGAAGAATGGGTATGAGGTAAGGGAAAAAGATGGGTACTGATTCCATGGTATGCCGCAGGTGGTGTGCTTGAGGGCGTCCCCCCAGGACCAGTGGGAGGATGAGGAATAAGGAGGAGTACCAAGATTGGAGAAGAGGACAGTCCACAGGGCGCTGTGGGTGGTGTGCTCAAGGGCATCCCCCCAGGACCACTGGGAGGAGGGGTAAGGAGGAGTACTGAGCCTGGAGAAGTAGTCCACAGGGCACTATGGGTGCTGTGCTCAAGGGTGTACCCCCAGGACCACTGGGAGGAGGGGTAAAGAGGAGTAGTGAGTCTGGGGGAGTAGACAGTCCACGCCACTCTGTGGGTGGTGTGCTCAAAAGTGTCCTCCTAGAACATCTGAGAGAAGGAGGAGTAAGGAGTAGTACTGAGTCTGGAGTAGACGTCCATGGGGCTCTGTAGGTGGTGTGCTCAAGGACGTCCCCCAGGACCACTGGGAGGAGGGGTAAGGAGTACTGAGTCTGGCAGAGTAGACAGTCCAAGGGGCTCTGTGGGTGGTGTGCTCAAGGGCATCCCCCTAGGACCCCTGGGAGGAGGGGTAAGCGGGAGTACTGAGTCAGGGGGAATAGACAGTCCATGCCGCTCTGTGGGTGGTGTTCTCAAAGGCATCCTCCTAGGACGTCTGGGAGGAGGAGTAAGGAAGGGTACTGAGTCTGGAGGAGTAGACAGTCCATGGGGTGCTGTGGGTGGTGTGCGCAAGGGCGTCCCCCCAGGACCACTGGGAGAAGGACGAGTAAGGAGGAATACTGAGTCTAGAGGAGTAGACAGTCCACAGGGCGCTGTGGGTGTTGTGCTCAAGGGCATCCCTCCAGGACCACTGGGAGAAGGAGGGGTAAGAAGTACTGAGTCTGGAGAAGTAGACAGTCCAAGGGGCTCTGGGTTTGGTGTGCTCAAAGGCATCCTCCCAGGACGTCTGGGAGAAGGAGGGCTAGGGAGGAGTACTGAGTCTGGGTGGTGTCCAGGACCACAGAGAGAAGAATGGGTATTAAGTCTCTGGGGTCCTACAGATGGTGAGTTCAAGGGCATATACCCAAGATCACAGGGAAGAGGGAAAGGAGTACTGGGTCTGGATGGGTGCTGAGTCCCCACGGTGTTGCGGGTGGTGTGCTCCAGGGCATCTCCCCAGGGCTGCAGGGAGAAGGAGTAAGACGTACTGAGTCTGGAGGAGGACTGAGTCCTTGGGGCACTGTGGGTGGTGTACTCAAGAATGTCCCCCTGGGACCAAAGGATGAAGGAGGAGTACGGAGTACTGAGTCCAGGAGTATTGAGTCCTTGGGGTCCTGTTGGTGGTGTGTGCAAGGGCGATCCCCCATGACCACAGGGAAGAGAGGAGGTACTGAGTCCTTGGGGTGCTGAAGGTTGTATGCTCAAGGTCGTCCCCCCTGGATCACAGGGTGAAGGAGTGGTAAAGAGTAGTACTGAGTCTGGAGAGGTACTAAGTCCTTGGGGTGCTGCAGGTGGTGTGCTCAAGGTTGTCCCCCCAGGACCACAGGGTGAAGGAATGGTAAAGAGCAGTACTGAGTCCGGAGAGGGACTTAGTCCTGGGGGTGCTGCAGGTTGAATGCTCAAGGTTGTCCCCCCAGGACCACAGGGTGAAGAAGTGGTAAAGAGTAGTACTGAGTCTGGAGAGGTACTAAGTCCTGGGGGTGCTGCCCTCAAGGTTATCCCCCCAGGACCACAGGGTGAAGGAGTAAAGAGTAGTCCTGAGTCCGAAGAGGTACTAAGTCCGTGGGGTGCTGCGGGTGGTGTGCTCAAGGGCGTCTCCCCAGGACCGTAAGGAGAAAGTGGGGTACGGGGGGGGGAGTACTGAGTCCGGAGGGATACTGAGTCCTCGGGGTGCTGCCCTCGGTCTTCTCAAGGGCGTCTCCCGGGGCGCGCAGCCAGGGAGGCGGCGGGCGGAGCAGGCCCCACGGCCCGCGGCCCGCAGCCGCTCCATCAAGGGCGCGCCACCCTTCCGAGCCGGCAGAGGACGGCGCCGGGCGACTCCCGTGTGACGCCTCCCCGACCTTGGGGGTCACCCTGGCCGCCGCGCCCGTTCCCTCACATCCGCCGCGAGGCCCGCCCCACGCCCCACACAGCCAATAGCGCGCTACTGCGCGCCCCCCGCGACGTCTGCGCGCGCCAGCGCCCGCCAATCTCCGCCCGTCAGACGGCCCTCGCCGTCCCATTGGCTGCCATGGTCGTCCATCAGGCCCCGTCCCGCCCACCTCCCGCCGTCAGCTCTGCTCCATCCGGCTTCACTCCCTGTCACCGCGGCGCCTGCGACAACGAGGCTGCGGCGCCCTCGCCCTCTGCCACGCCCCCCGCCTCCTGCCCGAGGGCGCGGGTCCTCCCGCACCAGCCCAGGCCCAGCGGCAGCGCGCGCTTACCTGTCCCCGGCTCGGCTCCACCCGAATGAGGCGCCGACACCCCACTCCGGGGCACCAAACTCTTGATCCCGCCCCGGCGTGTGGCGTCAGCACGCAGTCCCGCCCCTGGAGAAGAAGGCCCGCCCCGGCCGCTCGGGCGTGGCCTGACGTCACAGAGCAGCGCCGGCGTGGTCGTGGCGTGGGCCGGGGGCCTGCAGTGGGCGGGCTGGGTCTCTGCGGCCCCGACGCCGGGTGGCCGCCGGGGGAGGAGTGGCGAGTGCGTGTGCGAGTGCGGTTTCCCTCCGGAGGTCGTTCCCGTGAGGAAGGAAGAGCGCTGTGCGCGGGCAGCTGGGCCACCATGGGGTCGGGGGATTCCTGGGGATGGGGGCCAGTGGGGACCGTCCGAGCGGTAACCGCTCCCAGTACCCTTCGCTACTCCTGTCCCTGGGCCTCGTGCGGGTGCGGCGGTGCGCTTCCTGTCTCGGAGCTTGTTTCACTGAGCATGTGCTGAAGGTGGGTCCACGTTGGAGCAGGGGTCAGGATTCCCTTTATTGTTTTGTTTTGTTTTTTAAAGATTTTATTTGTTAACCAGACAGGCAGAGACACAGGCAGCGGGAGACGCAGGCTCCATGCAGGGAGCCCGACGCGGGACTCGAACCCAGGACCCCAAGGTCACGCCCTGGGCTGAAGGCAGACGTGCAACCGCTGAGCCCCCGGGCGACCTGATTGCCTTTCGTTTCTACGAGCAGAGAGTAGTCCGTCCTGTGGCTCCTCTGCCCCTCCTGTGCCCATTCCTTGTTGGGGTCGTTTGCATGTTTGAGCTTTTGTGCCTGGTGCTGCGGTGAGGTTGGCCCACAAGCACCCGTGGAGTGCGGGACGGGTGTCCACCCCTACTGTGTGTGTACCTGGGAGGGGAGCCCTAGCTGGGTTTTCCAGCGCCTGCCACGGTCGCATCACGTCCCCACCAGCAAGATGCGAAGGTCCCAACTTACATTCTGGTTACTAATTATTTCCTTTTTTTAAAAGATTATTTATTCATGAGACACAGGCAGAGGGAGAAGCAGGCTCCATGCAGGGAGCCCGACGTGGGACTCGATCCTGGGTCTCCAGGATCCCACCCCGGGGTGAAGGCAGTGCCAAACCGCTGAGCCACTGGGGCTGCCCTATTTCCTTTTTTAAAAATATTTTATTTATTTATTTACTAGAGATGCAGAGACACAGGCAGAGGGAGAAGCAAGCTCCATGCAGGGAGCCCAACGCGGCACTCGATCCCAGGTCTCCAGGATCACACCCCGGGCCAAAGGCGGTGCTAAACCGCGGAGCCAACCAGGGACCCTGGCTTTAGCTTTTTATTTTTTTTAATTTTTATTTATTTATTTTTTTTAATTAATTAATTTTTTTTTTTTGGCTTTAGCTTTTTAAAAAAACTGGGTGAGGGCAGCCCTGGTGGCGCAGCGGATTAGCGCCTCCTGCAGCCCGGGATGTGATCCTGGAGACTCGGGATCGAGTCCCACATCCAGTTCCCTGCATGGAGCCTGCTTCTTACTCTGCCTGTGTCTCTGCCTCTCTCTCTCTCTCTCTCTCTATGAATAAATCTTATAAAAAAAAAAACTGGGTGATTATCTTCTTTTTTTTTTGATTGAAGTACAATTGCCTTTAGAGTGTAGCATTAATTTCAGGTGTATACCATGGTGACTTGATATTTTTATACATCAGGAAATGGAGCCCTGCAGGAGCGCCTGGGTGGCTCAGTTGGTTGAGCTTCTGCCTTCAGCGCAGGTCATGATCTCAGGGTCCCGGGAGGGAGTCCCAGGTCCTGACCCAGATCCCTGCTCAGCAGGAAGTCTGCTTCTCCCTCTCCCTACCCCTTCTCCCCCTCTCTCTGTCTCTCTTAAATAAAATCTTAAAAAAAAAAAAAAAAAAACCCATCCCCGCGATAGTCTACCTTCTGTTGTCATGCGAAGCTATGAGGGGGTCGCTGCCTGTGCTCCCTGTGCTGTCCTTCAACATTTATCGCTGAAAAATAGGTGCCTCTTAATCCCCTTCACCTGTTGTGCCCGTTCCCAACCACTTCCACCACCCCTGGTAACCAACAGCTTGCTTCCTGTGTCTGAATCTGCGTCTGTTTTGTTTGTTCCTTTGCTTTATAGATTCCACACAGGAGTGAAGTCGCATTTGTCTTTCTCCGACTTACTCTGTAATACCCGTGGATCCACCCACGTTGTTGCAAATGGTAGGATTTTATTGTTTTTAATGGCTGAATAACATTCACATGTGTGCGCCCACATGTGCGTCCCCCCACCTCATCTTTCTCCTTCTGTGTGTCGATGGCCACTTAGGTTGCTTCTGTATCTTTGCTGTTGTGAATAAAGTTTCAGTGAATGTAGGGGGTGCATATATCTTCAGATTGGTGTTTTTGTTTTCTTTGAATAGATACCCAGAATTGCTGGATTTTAGGGTAATTCTATTATAATTCTAAAGTTAATGTTCTTAAATTTTAAATAGGATTCTATTTATTTGACAGCACCAGCAGGGGGAGGGGCAGAGGGAGAGGGAGAAACAGCTTCCCCTCTGAGCACAGAGCCTGATGCAATGGGAGCTCCATCCCAGGACATTGAGATCATGACCTGAGCTGAAAGCAGAGGCTTCGCCCACCGAGCCACCCAGGTGCCCCTATTTTTAAATTTTTTTTTTTTTTTTTTTTTTTAAGGAACTTATATACTGTTTTCCAGAGTGGTTGCACCAGTTTGCAGGGCATGAGGATTTCCTTTTCCCACCAACAGGGCATGAGGATTTCCTTTTCTCTGCGTCCTTGCCAACACCTGTTATTTTTTGGCTTTGTGGAAATAGCTGACCTGACAGGTGTGAAGGGGTATCTCATTGTGGTGTTGATTTGCATTTCCCTAAGGATCAGTGATGCTGAGGATCTTTTCATGTGTCTGTTGGCTGGTTTTAGCCTTTATATTTAGGTGGTTTATCCATTCTGAGTTAATTTTTTGTGTTTGATTTGTGGCAGGGGTTCAACTTCATCTTTTTATGTGTGGAACTCCAGCTGTCCCGGCACCATCTATTGAAGAGATAATTCTTTCCCCATTGAATGGACTTCGCACCCTCTTTGAAAATCAATTGAGTTCATTTCTGGACTCTCAATTCTATTCCATTGGTTCCTATGTCTGTCTTTATGCCGGCACCTCACAGTTTTGATTACTATGGCTTTGTAGTAAGTTTGAAATCCGTTAAGTGTGAATTCTGCAACTTTGTTCTTTTTGCTTTGGCTATTTGGAACCTCTTGTAATTCCATATAAATTTAAGGATTAGCTTTTCCACTTTTGCAAAAAAAAAAAAAAAGGCTGTTGAAATTTTGAGAGGGAATGTTAAATTGGTAGACCACTTTGGGCAGTATTGAGGTCTTAGCTATATCAAGTCTTCCAGTCTTCTTTAATTTCCTTTAGTATTTTTACTTTTCAGGGTATAAGCTTCGTACCTTGGTTAAAGTTACTACTGGTGTGTTTGTTCTGGGCAGCATTTGTAGGTGGAATTGCTCTCTTAATTTCCTTTTGATTGTTCATTTCTGGTGTGTTTTGTGTACTGATACTGTGCCCTGCAACTTTACTGGATTCATTCATGAGGTCTGGTAGCTTTCTCTTGGATTCTTTGGGATTTTTTTTTCAATATGTAGGATCATGTCATCTGTGAACATAATTTTTCTTCCTTTCTGGTTTGAATATGTTCTGTTTTTCTTGTCTAACTGATCTTACTGGAAAACCCAGGACAGTCTTGAATGGCAGTGGAAGCCCTGGGCCTCCTTGTCTTGTTCTTGATGTTAGGGGAAACGTTTCAGCCTTTCACTGCTCAGTATGATGTTTCTATGGGATTTTCATAGATGCTTTTTATCATATTGAGGAAATTCCTTTCTATTCCTAATTTTCCTAGAGTTTTTGATGACGGAAGGGTGTTTGATTTTGGTTAAATGCCTTTTCTGTATCAGTTGAAGTAATCATGTGTTTTTTTCTTCCCTTCATTTTATTAATGTTATTGTGACATAGATTTTCTTCTGTTGAGCCATCCTTGCATGGATGGGACAAATTCCCCTTGGTCATGTTATACATTCCTCTTAATGTACTCTTGGATTTGCTAGTATTTTGCTGAGGTTTTTTTCATCTGTATTTGTAAGTGAAATTGGTCTAATGTTCTTTTATTGTGATATTTTGTCTGGTCTTAGCATCAGTGTGATGCTGGCATGTTCTCAGTTTGTCCAGAAGTTTATGCAGGATTGGGGATACATCTTTACACGTTTGGTGGAATTCAACAGCAAAGCACCTGGTCCTGGGCCTGTCCTTACTGTGTCGCTCTAGGTAATGTGTGTTTCAAGGGATTTTCCCTTTAACTCCTGTGAAGTCACTGGTAATGTCTCTATTGCCCATTTCTGATTTTAATGATTTATGTCTCTTTTTTTCTTTGTCAACCTAACATAAGGTTTGTTAGTGTTGATCTTTTCAAAGAAGTAACTTCTACTTCCACAGACTGTTGTTTTTCTATTCTTTTTCTTGATCTCTATTTAAATCTTTATTATTCTTTCCTTCCACTAGCTTTGGGTGTAGTTTGCTCTTCTCTTTTTTTGTTTCTCAAAGTGCAAAGTTGGGTTATTGACTTGCTATCTATCTTTTGCTTTAATGTAGACATTTGCAGCTACAATTTTCCTTTGCACACTGTGTTCACTGCATCCTATGGGTTTTGCTCTGTGTGCTTTTTCTTTCTTTTTTTTTTAGATTTTTAAAAAATTATTTATTCATGAAAGACACAGAGAAAGAGAGGCAGAGACACAGGCAGAGGGGAAAAGCAGGCTCCATGCAGGGAGCCCGATGTGGGACTTGATCCCGGGTCTCCAAGATCACTCCCTGGGCCGAAAGCAGGCGCTAAACTACTGAGCCACCCAGGGATCCCCTCTGTGTGCTTTTTCATCAAGTGTACGTTCTGCATTCATTCAAAAATGTTTGTACCAGTTGGCCCTAGGTTCTGGGGACGAGGCAAACCCAGGAGACGGGCTCTGTGTTGTCACAGAGCTGACATTCTAGGACAAACCAACAAGCTAGCAATTGGCAGCCCCTGGAATCCAGAAAACAGAATGGTGGTAGCACTGCATTAGTTTTTATTTTTATTATTTTTTAGAAGATTTTATTTATTCACGAGACACACAGAGAGAGAGGCAGAGACACAGGCAGAGGGAAAAACAAGCTCCCTGCAGGGAGCCCAACGAGGGCCTCAATCTTGGGGCTCCAGGATCACGCCCTGAGCCAAAGGCAGATGCTTAACCGCGGAGCCACCCAGGCGTCCCTGCTTTAGTTTTTAAACTTTGTATATATATATTTTAATATTGTACAAGAATTACTCATTTATTTTGATATGAGGATATGTTTAGTATTTGGTTGTGATGGCATGATGAGTGTGCATATGTCCCAAAGTCATCAAGATAGTACATGAAATGTATGTAATTTTTTTATATCAACTATACCTTAATAAAGCTAAGAAAGACTTAATTCATTTTTAAATGAAACTCAAAAAAAAAAACTCAAAGGCTAATGTTAATAGGCATTATATTAAAAATTCTGAATTAATTATTATTGATTCATTTGGGGGAAAGCCGCCAAGAAAATTTCCATTCATTTTTTTTCTTTGAAAAAGTTTTAAATTTCTACGTTATTAAATACGTGACATTCACATGGTTCAGAAATCAGTAAGACATTGAAAGATGTGTAGTTTGCACCCACTTGATTATCTGCTGGTCTGCCAGACCCCATCCCCTGCCAGGGGCAACTCTGTATACATTGGATCACAGGACAGTGAGGTGTCTGTTTTCTTGGGGTAGACAGCGGAGGTAGAGAGAACCCAGGGACTGGGGCATGGCCATGGAGCAACCAGGAAAGTGTGTCTGCACTTGAATCAGTCCAACCATCCTGACGTGTGCTGGCTGACTGGGTGTTACTGTAGGTAACCCGCCACGCTAGCAGCTTACTGCACACTCGCTGTCATAACTGGGCATTCCATGCTGCATATCTTTCCATATCAGTTCATAGAGAGTGCCCTCATTTTTACCAATTGCATAATTGGACAGCATGGTTCTGGTGGGGATAGCTTACCTTTGTCCACTGTGGTACTGGCCAGGGCGGCCTCTCTGGAACTGGGGGTGGGTGGGGGGAACAGCCACTGGGAGGAGGCCGATTGGAGGATCCAATCAATCCAATCAGCCTCCTCCCAGTGGCTGCTGGCCTCCCAGGGCAGGCTGAGACTCATTACCGCCAAGCTCCCAGGGGTGGACCCTGGTGGCTGCACTGCCGTGGATTCGGCAGCGCAGGCCACAGCGCCAGGCCAGGTTCCTGGCGGGGAAGCGCGTCCCACTGCTTCGCAGAAGGGACAGCCTGCAGATGGCAGCAGGAGGAGGGCTGGACAGACATTCTGGCTCACTCAGGCCCAGGGGTGCCCACCCTCATGCAGTGTTCCCAGCCTCTCTCGTCCTTTCTTTTCACAGGTTTTCAATATATTTCCCTCACTTTTGTTTCTCTTCAGTGTTTGGAAGTTTGAAGCCATTTGCTCCATATTCTGGATTCAATTTTCTGTGAACTGCAAGATGGGACAGAAGACCTGATTTATTTATTTATTTATTTATTTATTTATTTATTTATTTATTTATTTATTTATTTTTAAGATTTATTTATTCATGAGAGACACAGAGAGAGAGAGGCAGAGACATAGGCAGAGGGAGAAGCAGGCTCTGTGCAGGAAGCCTGACGTGGGACTTGATCCCGTGACCCCAGGATCACGTCCTGGGCCCAAAGGTGGCGCTAAACCACTGAGCCCCCTGGGATCCCAGAAGACCTGATTTAGATTGAACACTACCTACAACAGCATTTTGATCCTATGATTTTATAGTATCAGCTGTTTGGACAGGATCATAATTTTCAAATCAGATCAAGTCATTCCTTGATCAGGGGTTCTCCTTTGCTGGAGTCCTTGAAGTGGCCTAAGAGGCCCACCCACTTCCAATTTCCTCCAACTGTCCCCCGCCCCCAAGGCTTGCTCCTCTGACCTTCCACTTGAGGTGGGGCTCTTCCTCTTTCTTAAAGTATCTATGTGGCTGGCGCCCCAGGCCTCTCTTACATGGCATCTTCTCCATGAGCCACCTTTTGCCACACTGTTGTACCCCACCCTGCTGCTAACCAGACACTTCCTATATTGGTCTCTGCCACAGATTACCACAAACATGGTGGATTAAAACAACAGAAATGGGATCCCTGGGTGGCGCAGCGGTTTGGCGCCTGCCTTTGGCCCAGGGCGCGATCCTGGAGACCCAGGATCGAATCCCACATTGGGCTCCCGGTGCATGGAGCCTGCTTCTCCCTCTGCCTATGTCTCTGCCTCTCTCTCTGTGTGACTATCATAAATAAATTAAAAATAATAATAAAAATAAAAAAATAAAACAACAGAAATGTGTTATGAGATTCTAGAGAGAAGAAGTCCAAAATGAAGACGTCAGCTGAGTTGTACTCCCTCCAGAGGCTCTAGGAGGAGAGATTTTCTTGCTTGTTTCTCTTTGTTTCTGGTGGCTCCAGGCATCCATGGCTGTGGCTGCATTCTGTCCAATGTCTACCTCTGTGATCCCATGGCCATGTCCTTTTATCTGTACATCTCTCTCTTCTAAGTGTACAGTTCAGTGACATTATGTTGTGGAACAGATCTCCAGAACTGTTTTCGTCTTACAAATCTGAAACTATCCATTAGACAACTCTCCTTCTCCCTACCCCTCCCCTACCTTCCTTCCCTCCCTACCTCCTTCCCCCCCTTTATTTACCCTCTTGTAAGTGGAATCATACAGCATGTATTTTGTGACAGGCTTATTTCACTGAGCATCATGTCCCCAAGGTCCATTCATGCTGTGGCACTGCAGGATTTCCTTCCCATTTGAAGGCTGAATGATGTTCAGTGATGTGTATATGCCACTTTTGTTTACTTTTCATCTGCTCATCCATCAATGGACATTTGGGTGGCTTCTACTGTTGGCCACTGTGAATAGTGCTTTTGTGTCTTTTAAAGGTCCTATCTTAAAAAAAAAATAATAAAGGTCCTATCTTCACTGCTTTTAATTTTTTTTTCTTCTTCAGTGCTTTTAGAGATCTACCCAGAATGGGACTGTTGGGTCATATGGTAGTTTTAGTTTTAATTTCTTGTACACCCATGTTCTTTCCCATAGTGGTTGTACCACATATGATGCTGCACACAGTTCATGAGGTTTTAATTCTCCACATCCTCACCAATCCCTATTTTCTTTTTTTAAGATTTATTTATTTATTCATAGAGAGCAAGAGAGAGGCAGAGACACAGGCAGAGGGAGAAGCAGGCTCCATGCTGGAAGTCCGATGTGGGACTCGATCCCGGGTCTCCAGGATCACCCCGGGGTGCAGGCGGCGCCAGACCGCAGCACCACCAGGGCTGCCCCTTCTTTCTGGTTTTTATATCAGTCATCCTATGGGTGTGTGGGTGTCTCTGTGATAGACACTGGTCACTGGGTTTAGGGCCCACGTGGATAATCCAGGATTATTGCATCTAGTCCTTGATTACATTTGGAAAGACTCCAAGTAAGGTCACATTCACAGGTTCCAGAGATTTCGACACATGATACGTCTTTTGGGGGTGGGCACCATTCAACCCACTACAGTCCCTAACCTCTTCCCTGCTGCATTTTCCTCCTTGACACCTATCTCAATCTGACATGCTATATTGTATTGAAGGGCAGTAATCAAAATAAACCCATGAGGACAAGGATTTTTGTCTTGTTCACCATTGTGTCCCCAGAGTTTAGAACAAAGACACAATAATAGCTGCTCAGTGATATTGAGTGAAGGGGCAACTGGCTTAGGAAAATGTTGACAGAAATTACCCACCACTGTTGAGGGGAAAAGTTTTCAGGCCTGGGGATTTAGATGACCTACTGTAGATTTTCTACTGTGGGTAATGCAATCTCTTTAAGATTACCCATCAATTAGGACAAATTTTAGGGTTCTCTTGAAAAAAAAAAAAAAAACTAGAAGTGTAAATACCATTTCTCACCAAAGTGAATCAGGATTCCTTGGATAAATGGCAGGTCTTTAAAAAAAGAGATTAGAGGAAGAGCATGAGCAGAGAGAGCAGCAGAGTAAGAGGGAGAAGCAAACTCCCTGCTGAGCAGGGAGCCAATGCAGGGCTTTGATCCTGGGGCTCTGAGATCATGACCCGAGCTGAAGGCAGGTGCTTCAGCCACCGAGCCACCCAGGCGCCCCCGTAAATGGCAGATTTTGTGTGTAGGGCAGGCAGTGTACAAAATAGAAAACCAGGAAACCACTTAAGACTACTGGGGTTATGTTAAAAGGGCACAGAGAGCTTGGAAATCTTATGATCTGAACGTTAAGGGGTAATGATTGCAACATATGCAGACACATTTAGTTTTACTGCAAATCCTCCCTGGTTCTGGATCTAATGGTTTACAAGATACCGCAGGGACAGACACACATGTGAAATGACACGCGAAGATACAATCTGCCCAATCCAGAATGTAAAGGATTCTGGCCCAGGGGTCTAGCTGCTTCAGTAAGAAACAGCACTGTGGTCATCAACCATGGAGATTTAGAAGCTATGTCCCTGACCCAGTGAATTTACCTTATTTGCACTGATTAAACAATCTAAAGCCTGAGACGATGGGAGAAACTGTACATATGCTAAGTATTAGGGGACATCAAAGGATTACTTAACCTCATTGGATGTTAATACGGTATTAAATTTTTTAAAAAGATGTATTCACGAGTGACAGGGAGAGAGGCAGAGAGAGAAGCAGGGAGCCCGATGCAGGACTTGATCCCAGGACCTGAGGTCACAACCTGAGCCAAAGGCTCAACCACTGAGCCACCCAGGTGCCCCATGAATATGGTATTTTAAAAAGTCCTCATCCGTTACAGATACTCAAGTATTTATAGGCAAAATGATGTATATGCAGAAAAAATGCACTTTAATATACTTTAGGAAAAACATGCTGAAATGAAATGAAACAAGGCTGGCAAAAGTTGATTTTTGTTGAAGGCGGGTGATGAGTATATGAAAGTTCATTCTAACTATTCAGTTTTTGGAAATTATGAGAAATTTAAAGCAAAGCTTCACCCATGCTCTGCTGTGATTCTATGGCCAGCAATGATGTTCTGGTTTGGTGTTGGGCTCCCTGTGCCCCAGAGGAGAGGTGGTGTGACCAGGCCCGGCAAACACGCCACCTGACCCCACTCATTGTTTTCCGAACTCTCCCCCCGTTTCTTAGCTCAGATTTTCAGTCTCCTTTTGCACCAGTTTGTTCATGGGGGGGGGGGGCGGTTGGGTTGGGGAAGCCGCAACAGCATGCAGGTCAGGTCCCTTAACCCCAGATGGTACCCCAGGTTGGAACGGAGATGAGATGCAGAATGAGGCCACACTGTTGTCCATCCCAGTAGACGCAATTGAGCTAAACGCCCATATTTAAAATCAAGGGGCTCTATGCCAGACCCCCATTTCCAGCTTCTGGAGGAGACAGCTGTAAACGGAGCTTTGGGTCCTCAGAACTGCTGCGTCTGGAACGGCCTTTATTGGCCAGGATGCTGTTCTGGCTCCGTCCCAGCGCTTATGGGAGAAAGAGCAGCGTCGAGCGCGGCGCCAGGGCTTTCGCAGGCCTCACCTGGGGCACGGGGCGGGGGCAGCCCGACAGCTGGCCGGAAAGTCGCGAGGCCCGCGGTGTCCACTGAAACGACGAAGGGACCCTTGTCGCATCTGTCCCCGCTCCACGCATCTTCGTGGAGGTCAGCGCAGTCCCTGGCACCCCCCGCCCCGGGGGTGCCTACCACGCACGCAAGTGTTAGGAAAAGCCCAGCACAACCGCAGGGTCGCAGGTCACGCCCGGCGGTCACAGCCCCACCAGTTCAGGCCGCTCCCCGGCCCGCCTCCCGCGCGGGCTCCCTCGTCCCCAGACTCCTACCCCAGTGCTGGACCCCTCCCCCATGCCCTTCCTTCTCCCGCCTGGGACACTCTGCCCCCCGCGACCCGGGTCCAGAGGGAAGTCCCACCAGGTCCGGTCCGCGGAGGGGCGGGGCGCGAACGAACCCGCACATGCGCGCTCCGACGCTGGCTGCGCGGCCTCTCCGGGAAGCCGGGCAGAGGCTTGCGCACGCGCGCAGGGCGGAGGAAACGCGTAGGTAGGCGTCGGGCAAAGCATCGCTCCCGGAAAGCGGAAAGGGGCCCCGGGCGTCCCCCGCATGCGCACTCTCCTCTCGGCAGAGCTGCCTGGCCTGGAAGACGGGCGGAGCGAGACGGACGCAGAGCGGCCGCCAGAGCGCATGCGCACTCAGCGCCTGGCCCAGCTGCGTCTCCTGGACCAGGGCTCGGGCGCGCGCATGCGCGACGGGCCTCGGGCGCGCGTTGGCAGGTGTCTGGCGGGTGGCGGCGGGCGATGGGGCGACCGGCGCTGCTGCTGCTCGCGCTGTGCGCAGCTGGCGCCCGGGGACTCTACTTCCACATCGGCGAGACCGAGAAGCGCTGCTTCATCGAGGAAATCCCCGACGAGACCATGGTCATCGGTCAGGCGGGGCGAGGGAGGACAGGGCCTGCGTGTCTCCCAGACGCGGCCGCGGCGCCCCGCGGAGAGTGGGAGCCGGCCGGAGCAGGCGGGTCGTGACGGCTGTGTGTGCTCCGCAGGGAACTACCGCACGCAGATGTGGGACAAGCAGAAGGAGGTCTTCCTGCCCTCGACCCCCGGCCTGGGCATGCACGTGGAGGTGAAGGACCCCGAGGGCAAGGTAGGGCAGCGGTCCGCGCAGCTCCGGGGGACCTGCGGGGCCAGGGACGCGCAGGGGCAGGGCGGCTCCGCTCCGGGGCACGTGCGGGGTCGGGGCAGCTCCGGGAGACGTGTGGGGACAGGGCAGCGAGCGCCTGTCACGGTGTGCTCCGTTGCAGGTGGTGCTGTCCCGACAGTATGGCTCCGAGGGCCGCTTCACCTTCACTTCCCACATGCCCGGCGACCATCAGATCTGCCTGCACTCCAATTCCACCAGGATGGCTCTCTTCGCTGGTGGCAGACTGGTAAGAGAAGGGCCTCTCCGGTCACATCCCGGAAGCTGTCCCCGATTCCACCAAGTTTTGAGTGAATGGCCACCGTCACTTGTGACCCTTTGTGACCAGGGACAATCAAAGAGACAGGTGCTGCACTTCTGTCCCACAGCCAGGGGTGGAGTAGGTTCCCTAGCCCAGAACTGAGAGTCGGAGGGCTTCTGACCTCAGGGCGTTGGGGCTCCAACCCCCTTTCTTTGTAGCGCGTGCACCTGGACATCCAGGTTGGGGAGCATGCCAACAACTACCCCGAGATCGCTGCCAAGGACAAACTGACCGAGCTCCAGCTCCGAGCTCGCCAGCTGTTGGATCAAGTGGAACAGATCCAGAAGGAGCAGGATTACCAGAGGGTGAGCACATATCACTGTACAGAGACGTGGCAGTTGACCTTTGTGCTTGCTGGAAGTCTCTGCATAGGGCATGTCCTTCCCGGGAGCTCAGCCACCGAGACTGGGGTGGACAGTGTGAGGAGAGCGCAGCTCCTGGGGGGGGGCAGCACATCCCTCTCCTGGGGTGCTGCCTGGGGAGCCTGGGGCAGCGTTTCAGCAGGCATTTGGTCCCAAAGTCGAATTCTATGCAGGAGGGAGGGGTCTCATGACAGTGGGAACCGTTTTTCTTGCATATTAATCCTGGCTCGTTGTCCCACGCAGTATCGTGAAGAGCGCTTCCGTCTCACCAGTGAGAGCACCAACCAGAGGGTCTTGTGGTGGTCCATTGCTCAGACAGCCATCCTCCTCCTCACTGGAATCTGGCAGATGCGTCACCTCAAAAGCTTCTTTGAGGCCAAGAAGCTGGTGTAGTATCCTCTCCATATGATCCCTCCCCATCACCTCAATTACTTGGTACTTTCCCCACCTGATACCTTATCCACGTGGATTTTGAGGGAAAAAAAATGAAAACAGTATATAAGCCACATTGGTTCCATGGCAACAAAGCATTCACATCAGCCACTCGTTCACACTGGTTCACGAGGACCCAGGACATTGGTCCGGGTTTTCAGAGGTCTGTTTTGGGGCCTGTTCAGAGTCGAAACTGCCCTGGGACTAAGTCTTGCTTCTCACCTCCAGTGATTCCACTCCATCCTGTCACAAAAAAGAGCAAGTGAAAAATCCTCTGCCCTTCCTTTAACTTCTTTTTGTTTACTTAGGCGGTAGGTGGCTGAAATGCCCCACCGGGGAGGCCCTGCCTCACTGTCCCTCGCCAGTCCTGGGTTAGCTCAGTGGCTTTGTGAATGTTAAGAAGGGCAGAGGCCTCGGAGGATTGAGATGTTTTTCTATATATTAGAACTATTTTTTGATAAATTATATATATTTTACTTCCTGGTTGAAGTGCTCCTGCCTGTGTATGACCAGCATTGCAGCCTTGTCTGCATTCTGTGTATCCATACGTTTTAGCTAAGGGCCACAGCAGGGCTCACACCTGACAGGTGCTCCCAAGGCCTACTGTGAGGGCCGAGACTTCCCTGGGACACTGGGATTTCAATCACTGGGCCCCAGAGCGAGGTAGTGCCAGAGCCAGCACAGGCAGGGCCCTCCTACCCTCCCACCTTCCTTTTATTTAAGCTGTGCTAAATGTTTTCTTCACAGGAACCACATTTGGTTCTTCATACAGATTTTTCCAGTGAAATAAAATGTGTTGTAGTAGCTGTGTTTGAGATGAAGTAAGAGGCTGCGGGCAGAGGGGAGGCACGGAGGGAGGTGGAGAAAAGGCCCCTGGCCTTTGCGGGGGACATCAGCAGGCAGGCCCAGGCTGCCAGCTGCCAGGCATCCATGGGTGGGGGAACAGCTGGGTGGTCGCTGGGCCACTCCCAGAGGTCGGCCATGTAGGCCACTGGCGGGGCATCCTTTGAAGAGATACAGTAGCTGTTTCTCAGCTCCTAGGATCGAACTGGAGCATCTTGGTATCCTGCCCTTCTGCCCTTGTGTGGTATTAAACTTGCCCGCTCTTGGGATCCCTGGGTGGCACAGCGGTTTGGCGCCTGCCTTTGGCCCAGGGCGCGATCCTGGAGACCAGGGATCGAATCCCACATCGGGCTCCCTGCATGGAGCCTCCTTCTCCCTCTGCCTCTCTCTCTGCCTCTGCCTCTCTCTCTGTGACTATCATAAATAAATAAAAATTTAAAAAATTATTTAAAAAAAAGAGAAGATATTCAAGACCTTTAAAAAAAATAAACTTGCCCGCTCTTGACTTTTTATTTCATGGTTTTATTTATATTTAACCACATTGCTTATTTGACCTACAGAACTAGCGCTTTCTCTTTTTTTTCCATACGTGTGTCCTATACCATTTCCTGTATGTACCTACTTTTACTTACAAAACGATCTGGAAGTTTGTCTTCTAGGTTTTATCATTAACATTTTTAAAAATATATTTTATTCATTTATTCATGAGACACAGAGAGAGGCAGAGACACAGGCAGACCCAGGGAGCCGGATGTGGGACTCAATCCTGGGACTGCTGGATCAGGCCCTGAGCCAAAGGCAAGATGTTCAACCGCTGAGCCACCCAGGCGTCCCTGTCATTAATATTCTTAAAGTATTTTTAAAACTACGTGTTCCTTATGTTCTAATTCTGGATGGTGTAGAACAGTCCAACGATAACTGACTTAAGTTTCTTTGAATGTTTATACAATGGTTTTTGATTTCCTTGTTAAGAGTGAACACAGGGAGGATGAGGATGAGCTGCGCCTTGGTCTGGGCCCCTGGGAATAGGGACGGGTCAGGGCGGAGGGGGGGCGCTGCACCGAGGCTGTCAGGCTGGCGGGGGGGGGGGGCAGTCTCGGGCTGGGCTCCAGGGGTAGGGACGGGTCAGGGCGGGGGGTGGGGGCTGCACCGAGGCTGTCAGGCTGGCGGGGGGGGGGGCAGTCTCGGGCTGGGCTCCAGGGGTAGGGACGGGTCAGGCCGGGGGGGGGGGGGGGGGCTGCACCGAGGCTGTCAGGCTGCGGAGGCGGGTCTCGAGCTGGGCTCCGGCGGTAGGGACGGGTCAGGGCGGAGGGGGGGCGCTGCACCGAGGCTGTCAGGCTGGCGGGGGGGGGGCAGTCTCGGGCTGGGCTCCAGGGGTAGGGACGGGTCAGGGCGGGGGGTGGGGGCTGCACCGAGGCTGTCAGGCTGGCGGGGGGGGGGGCAGTCTCGGGCTGGGCTCCAGGGGTAGGGACGGGTCAGGCCGGGGGGGGGGGGCTGCACCGAGGCTGTCAGGCTGCGGAGGCGGGTCTCGAGCTGGGCTCCGGCGGTAGGGACGGGTCAGGGCGGAGGGGGGGCGCTGCACCGAGGCTGTCAGGCTGGCGGGGGGGGGCAGTCTCGGGCTGGGCTCCAGGGGTAGGGACGGGGCAGGGCGGGGGGGGGGGGGGCTGCACCGAGGCTGTCAGGCTGGCGGGGGGGGGGCAGTCTCGGGCTGGGCTCCAGGGGTAGGGACGGGGCAGGGCGGGGGGGGGGGAGCTGCACCGAGGCTGTCAGGCTGCGGGGGGCGGGAGTCTCGGGCTGGGCCCCGGCGGTAGGATCGATCGGTCGGTCGGTCCGTCCCAGGTGTCTGCACTGTCCGCCGGGCCGAGCAAGATGGGCAGAGCCGGCGCAGCTCCGACGGCCAGGCTGGCGAAAGAGCCGCGGGCAGAAGGTAGAGCCGCTGGCAGCCGCTGAGCGAGGCACGCAGAGACCGACCCCGGACCCCGCGAACCACTGCAGCCGCAGATGCCCGCCCGGACGCCGGAAGCCGGGCGCCAGCACTTCCGGGGGGCAGCTCCCGGGACGCTGATTGGTGGTTGCGCCGCTCGCCGTCGGCCCCTTCCTGCCGTGCGTACGCACCGCCCCCGCAGAGCCGCAGCATGGCGGACCCAGAGGCGGTGGGCTTCGAGCACATGGGCCTCGACCCACGGCTGCTGCAGGTACCGGGAGGGACGAGCTGCCGGGCCCACGAGCCTGGGGGCGGGGCGCCGCCTGAGCCGCGCGTCGTGTCTTCTAGGCCGTCGCCGACCTGGGCTGGTCGCGACCCACGCTGATCCAGGAGAAGGCCATCCCGCTGGCCCTGGAGGGGAAGGACCTGCTGGCCCGGGCGCGCACCGGCTCGGGGAAGACGGCCGCCTACGCCATTCCTGCGCTGCAGCTGCTGCTCCAGCGGAAGGCGGTGGGTGGGGGCGGGGCGCTCCTGGGGCGACCGTGGGGGAGGGACGGGGGGCTCCGGGGCCCCCGAAGGCCGCCCCGGGGTGCGGTGTGTGTGCTCCGCGCTCTGGCCCTGCTCCGGGCGCCGCTGCCACGACGTGAGCGCTGCCCTGTGTTTTCCGGCTGTAAAGGGCGGACACGCCCCCCGCTCGGAGCGGGAGCCGCACCCCCGAGCGCTCCGGCTGCAGTCCGTGCAGCCCCGGGTCGCCGCCGAGCCGCGTCCCCTGACGGGCGGTGCTGGGGGAGGGGCCCTCTGTTCCCCCCTTCGTTCCGTTCTGGGCTGCGCGGAGGTGAGCGAGGGGCTGGTCAGAGCACAGCCAGGGTGGTGGAGCGGAAGACCCCGCGGTTGGGTCAGGTGGCCCTGAGGTCGCTGGCTGGCTGGCTGAAGTCTGTCGTTGGTGCTCTTGCAGACAGGCTCTGCGGTGGAGCAGGCTGTAAGAGGGCTTGTCCTGGTGCCCACCAAAGAGCTGGCACGGCAGGCCCGGTCCATGATTCAGCAGCTGGCTTCCTACTGTGCTCGAGACATCCGGGTGGCTGATGTCTCAGCTGCTGAAGACTCAGCCTCTCAGCGGTGAGTGAGAGCCACAGAGCCCTAGAGGGATGACCTGCACGGGGATGCGGGATGGGGATGCGGGATCAGGTTTGCTGGGTTCCGTGCAGCAGGAGGCGCGGCCAGCGTGCGGTGGTGGTGGGGGCATGAGTGGCTGTGTGCTTCCCAACACGGAGGTGTCTGCTGCTTGCAGAGCTGTGCTGATGGAGAAGCCTGACATCGTGGTGGGGACCCCATCTCGCATTTTAAACCACCTGCAGCAGGATAGTTTGGTTCTGCGAGACTCCCTGGAGCTGCTGGTGCTGGACGAGGCTGACCTTCTTTTCTCCTTTGGCTTCGAGGAAGAACTCAAAGGTCTTCTCTGGTAAGGAAGAGGTGTGTGGGGCTGTGAGTAGACACCAGGGCCTAGGGCTGGGATCTGACAGGCTGTTTTTTTTCTAGTCACTTGCCTCGGATTTACCAGGCTTTTTTGATGTCAGCTACTTTTAACGAGGATGTGCAAGCACTCAAGGAGCTGGTACTTCATAATCCGGTAAGGGCACTGTGGGAGCATCTGGAGCCACTGGCCTGTGATTGTTAACTTTCCAAGGAGTTCTTTGGTTTTTCGGGGGGGGGGGGGTAGTTGCTCATGTTTTGGAGGCTCTGGAAACTGGTGGTCATCTACAGTGCCATCTTCTTACGGTCACTGCATATTTGCAGATGTTTGCAGGTAGTGGTTCAAACAATGCTTCTTTACATAAAGGCCTGAATTGGGACCCTCAAGAGTCAGAAAGGCTGCTTTGAGCAGCACGGTCAAAGCTCTCGCTGTACGTGAGCTTGAGTCCTGAGAGATGGCTGCCTTGGGGCTCTCCTTCTCACTGCAGTTGCTTATCGTGTGTTTCTTTCTGTTCTGGGCCCCCGGCATGTTGTAACTGTACATTCTCTGTATACCACAGTCAGGGTACATTGAGTCCTCACATCACTGGACCAGAGGGGACACCAGGTGCTCTGCCCTAACACGTTTGTGCCCTGGCTTGGACCAGCAGCTGTCAGTAGTTCTTCTGTTTTCTCCTCTTCCCTGACCTCGGGGCACCTACCTCCTGTAGGTCACTCTCAAGCTGCAGGAGTCCCAGCTGCCTGGGCCAGACCAATTGCGGCAGTTCCAGGTGGTCTGCGAGACAGAGGAAGACAAGTTCCTGTTGCTGTATGCCCTGCTCAAGCTGTCGTTGATTCGTGGCAAGTGCCTGCTCTTTGTCAACACCCTGGAGCGGAGCTATCGGCTGCGCCTCTTCCTGGAGCAGTTCAGCATCCCGGCATGCGTGCTCAACGGAGAGCTCCCACTGTGCTCCAGGTTTGTCCGCTCTGGCGCTTTGGCTGAGAAGCACTGAAGCAGGGGACTGAGAAGGAGAGACACGGGGGCTGCTCCTGTGTCTAAAGTGGGAGGTAGAGCCCAGCCTGTGGGCTGGGCTTGAGTGCTTCTCATTGGCTTTCCGTGTCATAGCTCTGAGATTCCTGCTGTCACATTGTCTTTAGCTGAGGCCCAAAGGTGAAGCAGGAGCAGAGCTGGAAGAGGAAGAGTCAGAATACAGTCATGATGATGTTGGGGGTAGGAGGGCCCTTCAGCTGGCTTTGGGGGCTGATCCTTTCTCTGCTCTTGGGCTGTAGGTGCCACATTATTTCACAGTTCAACCAGGGTTTCTATGACTGTGTCATAGCGACTGATGCTGAAGTCCTGGGATCCCTAGTCAAGGGCAGGCGTCGGGGCCGAGGATCCCGGGGGGACAGGTGAGTGCTGGTGTTTCCCTTTCGTGGTGCACTGCAGGGAGACCTGTTTTCTCAGCCTTTCAGAAGGTGGTGAAACCAGTGTCCTGAGCAAGGAGTCTGGTGCTGGGGCCTTGCTGCTGACCACGGCCCACAGAGCCCTCGCTCTGTTGCCAGGGTCTAGAGGATAGTGAAGGGTGTG